CGTCATGTTGGAGTGGCAAGCCCTGGGGTCTGCCCTCCCACCTCCCGTCCCTGACACCTGGCCATGGCAGCTCCTGCTCCAGAGAGCAGCTGTGCAGGGGGCAGACATGCTCCTGGCCCAGGAGCGCACCACAGAGCTGGAAGCCAGGCCTCAGCTGCCACTGAGCGGCAGAGCAGGAGGGCCGAGGGCCACGCAGGGTAGAGGGAGTAAGGGAGCAGGCACTTGGCAGGCCCAGGTAATGCCCGACACACAGGGCGTGTGACTCATAGTACTGCACTGACGGCTGAAGTGATAGAGTGGCGTTAGGACAGGGACCCTGGCTGACTATTCAGGGAACAGCAAGATGGGGCCCAGGGACCAGGCCTGTCTGTGCCCTCCTGGGCTCTGCAGGATGCTGCGGAAACGGGATGTCCCCTGCCTGAGAAGGACATCTTGATCACACACGCGGATGTGACATACGCCGTGGGAAGTGTCCTCTACCAGCTGAGGGATGGAAATCTGCCCCTTTATTGACACCACACACTTCCACAGCCGGCCATCGAGGGAAGCGAGGGCTTTAGGAGGGCAGACTGCCCACAGCAGGCAACAGCAGACCACCTGTGACATGCCAGGCTTCGCCCAGCCCTGGAGTCCCCCACTGAGGGCTCGGTGTGCAGGCATCGGGGGACGCCAGGCCAAGAGGGGAGGTGGGGGCTCTCTGCCCATTTCTAGGCCGGGAGCCTCCCCTGCCTGGGCTGACGCCTGCTTGTCCTGCCAGGTGGGCCCCAGCAGAGGCCAGGATGCGGGCCAGCCTCCACCCGGCGGTATGCAAGCCTGGCCACCTGGAAGTAACTGGTAAGAGTACAGGAAATGCCAGCAGGTGGCTGGGACCCGTCCTATGGCATCCCTCGGGGGGCCCTGCCCCTTTGGGGATGGCTGTGTGATGTTTGAGACAGCCACGTGCCTCAGTAGAGGCTGGCCGTGCTCCACCTCCAGGGAGCGTCACCTGAGACGATGGCTAAGGCAGAGACTGCCTGGGTCCCTTCCTGCCCTGCCCACGGCCCGCTCTGTGCACCGAGCGGGGGACACTGCCCTGCCGTGCTCAGGCCTCACATCCAGCAGCTCGGCACGCTTCCCTCCACGGGGTTCCCCCAACACCCCCACCAGGGTGCACCCGACTGGTGGCCAGCTGGGGGAAGCCAGGCCCCGGAGCCCCACGCCTGTCTTTAGGAGCCCTCTGCTCCTCCGTGGTCCCAAGGCCTGCGCTCAAGGAAGGGGGCATCCTGGAGGGGCCTTTCCCAGGGTGGTTCCTGCCCCGACCATGCAGTCTGGCCTGGGCAGGCCACAGCACAGGGGGACCCCACGGTCGGTTTCCCCTGAGCACCCGAGGCCGCACACGGCCCACCCCATCTTCTCAGCCTGCGGCACCCGTTGGGCACCCGCCTCTCTGCCCTGTCCTGCCGGCTTGGACCCAGTGAGGCCAGCCTTCGTCCCCTCTCCCCTCCCCAGAGGGGCCCTGCCCTGGGTGGGGTGGGCGCCTCCCTCCTGTGCGTCCCATTCAGACTTTCCTGCTTTGTTTATCCACAGCCAAAAGGCAAAAGCCCTGCTCTGAGTCACCCCTGCTCCCAGCCGGCTCTGATTCATGGAGGCCCGATGTGGGGACTGACCCTGGGCTGTTAACCTCTTGGTCTCCACAGCAGAAGGCCTCTGGGCGCTGGAGCTGGGGCCGACGTGCGGATCAGCCGAGCCGGTGTGTTTTTGGGGGCTGCCGAGAAGAGGGGCTGGAGTGTGCCGCACTCCCTCACCTTTGGCCACTCCCACCAGAAAGGTGTCAGGCATCACTCTCCAAAGGACTTGGTCATTTGGCAAGTGTGGTCCCAGAACTTGCCAGAGTATGTGTCAGATGTTGCCCCGAGTGTGAAAGAAGTCAAGGCCTAACAGAAATCAGATTATGGCTGAGGATCTGAAGGAGTGGGGAACGCAGAGCCCGGTGGGTCCCCAGCCCCTAGAGAGGCGCAGCTGGTGACTCACTCCATGAGAAGGAGGCTGCAAACAGCTCACCGACCAGGTCCTGGTGAAGGGCACGCATAGGACGCCTGGTCCGCGCCCGGCCAGCCTCTCCTCAGGCCTGAGCATTCTCTGAGCATCACGGGGGCAGGGCCCGGGGTGCCAGGCGAGCCTCTCATTTTACCCCAGGGCAGAGTCAGCAGGGTCCCTGCAGAAGGTGAGACTCCTCTCCAGCTCCCGCGAGGGAGTCGGCATGAAGGCACCTCTTCCAGGCTCCAGTCAAGACGAGAGTTGGTGAATCCACTGCACTCTGGCCCCTGGCTTCCACAGGTCTGGACTGGCTTATCATCAAGGACACCTGTCCCCAAGCACACAGAGGCTCAGAGACAGACAAAGGAAGGCGCCGAGTTCTGCCGGGACGCGCGTGCCGGGAGCGAGGGTCAGCTCAGTCCTGCACCTGAGCAGTTTCCCATCGCCAGGGCACCTGGAAGATGCATGGCCCTCGTGGCCAAAGGGGGCCTCAGGTTCCACCAGGGAGCTGAGCGGGCCCTGCTGGGACCCTCTGGATGGCACTTTCCCCTACCTTAGCAGGAAAGGCCCCGCAGGAGGCCCGGGCCCAGGCATGCAGCTTCAACCCAGGGCCTCCGCATGCTGACAGGTGCCCTGCCACCGAGCCACCCTCTGTGCTGCTTCAGTCAAATCCAGAGTGTGACACTGAGTGAGAGTTCCAGGCACACTTCCAGGGCTCTCGGGCACACTTGTGCAGGTGGAGGTGGGCCTGGAGATGGGCACTAGCGTGTGCCTGTGCCCCTCCATCTCTAAAATGCACGGGCCACCTCTGCGTTTGTCTTGTCAAGTTGCAAACGTTTGCAAGGCATCTGTAAAAAATCTAGAAAAGATGGCAGTCATTTATCCCGGACTTCAGTCTCCACAGTTCAGTTACCTGCAGTCAACCGAGGCTGGACAATAACACTATTCTGCGCCGTGGGCCAAGAGGTGAGCTGCCTGTGTTCTGAGAGAGGGAGAGAGACCACATTCAGGCAACCTTCATGTCAATGCATCGTTGTTTTTGCTAAGGGTGTGGCTGTCAACCCCTCCGGGTGTCTAGTTTATAAAATACACTTGTCCTGGGCACAGGAATACATATGGTGTGTGTGGGGTTAGGAGCTTGTAGTTCTAGGAATCGGCGGGGGTCTTGGGTGTGTCCCCTACAGATGAGGGACGCAGCTGCAGTGACACACAGAGAAGACAGGAAGCCCTCCCCGGCAGTTCGGTTCCTCCTGGACCCGCCCCCCTGCAAGCACCGGCCCTGCCCTTTCCACCTGGAGCAGGTGAGGCCTGCTCCTCCAGCAGTTGCCGTCGTCCAGTGCCGGGATGCAGCGCTTCCTGGACACTGCAAATCCCCCTTGACCTCGGGGAGTGGACATGAGCTTCCCTGTTGCTGGACCTGGCAGACTCACTTCAGGGGCCTCCTGGAGGCCGCTGCCCGCTCACAGGGCATTTCCAACTCAAGACCTTCTCTTATCTACTATGGAAGTGTTTTTAGGAAAGTCTTCGTTTATCTTCCTACTGGCAGGGACACGATGGCTCCCGCCCTCACGCTGGGTAACAGAGTGTCCTCCTGTTTCGGTTTTGTTTTTGTTGTTAAGTTCAACACTTCTCATGTTTCATGGCCAAACGATTCTCTTCTTTTGTGAATCCACACTCTCTGCCCGTGTAGGCTACTATGTAACCGTCTTCTGAAAAAATTTTCAGGTCTCTTTTGTCTACGAAAATTATTGCTGTAAAATAGGTTGCAAACACTTTCTTCCCAGTTCATTAAAAGTCTCCGAGTGCGGGATTTTAGCATACAGAAGCTCAGACTTTAACTGGGTTGGAGTTACTGCTTCCTTGGCGATTTGTCCTCGCCATACTCTGGAAACCAGAAGAGTCCACATCAGCCCACATCACTCAGTTCACGGAGGTCACTGTCAGCACCTGTAGGACAGTGGTCCGTGTTCTGCTTCTGCATTCTGTCCACAGTGTGGCCACAGTTGTAGGTGACCATCTGTGCTGGACAGAGCCATGGGACCTCAAAGGGACATAATTAATCAGGGATCCGCCCGGAAGCAGGACTTCACTATTTGTTCTGTGGAGGCAAATGTCCCTGCTTTGGGGACAGGGAGAAGGACTGGGAGCAGGGAACAGAGGGGAGCAGGGGCACTCTGAGCCCAAGGCACTGACTTAGCTCACGCTCCCTGGAGGGTGTTTCTGAAAACCAGTGGGAACGTCACAGGATAGAAATCCCTTCTGTCCCCTCTGCCAGTGGGAGGACACGGCAGAGCCTCTGGCTCAGTTATGAGGGAGCAAAGGTGGTCAGAAAGCAGAGCAGGGTCCCAGGGAAAGTCGGGGTGCTGTGCTGACATGTGAGTAGCTAAGGGATCTGGGCGGCGTGATCTGCAGGAGGCTCTGTGCCGCACGGCAGGGGAGGAGCCCGGGCCACGGGAAGGTAGAGGCCGAGAGACCAGGCCCTGTCTGGCTTTGGGGGGGCCCAGGCCTGGTCCAGCAGTCTGCACAGCTTGCCAGGGGAGAGGCCAGGAGCCAGGCCACCCCTCTCTCCAGCCCTCCCACCATCTTCCTCTCTGTCCTTCCCTCCCTGGTGGCTTCTCTTTGAGCTGGGGGCAGAGGGCCAGGAATGGGGACAGCAACCCCAAACTGAAGGCTCTCCCCTGCTGGCTCACCCCGTCGCGATTCGCTGGGACTCGCTCTGAGAGCTCCCGAGCCTCCGTCTGGATTCGCACATCCAAACACTCCTGCAGCCCACGCTACCACAGGGCCTCTGTGGCACCTTGGCACCTGATCGCATGGTGCCACCAAGGCGGTGATGATGAAGAGAAACGGGGTAGAATCGAGGCCAAGGAAGCTGAGAGCAAACCCCTCGCCCGCCCCTCTTGAGGGGACACAGGTGGATCAAGAGCATACGAAGGGTTAACAGACCCGGGAGGAAGAAAAGAAAAAGAAAACCGACCACTCACCCAGAATGACTTAGTGCCACCCTCTGTTGTCCCTCTCTTCTGGGACCAGCACCTGCACACAAGAAGAGCAGGAATCTCACATCTGTGGTGATGGCCCCAGCCCTGGACGGTCTCTGAGCCCGTGGACCAGCCCAGGACCCTCTCAGCCCCAGAAGGACAGGCTCTGGAGAGCGCCCTGCTGGGTGGGACGTGTGGATGACGCTCCCTGCCACCCCAGGGTCCTCCCGGTCACTGAGGCAGGCAGGACAGGTCCTAGCCACCCCACCACCGATGTGGAAACGCTCCCTGCTCTGTCCAGCAGGTAGGTCACCAGCAGCACGGAGCCTTGGGCCCCTGGAGTGTGAGAACTCCGCCAGCCACCAAGGGGCTCCGAGGCGTGGGGCAGGCAAAGCAGCAGCGTGCTGTTGGCAAGCGTTGAGGTGCTGGTGTGCGCGTGTGTGTGCGCTAAGGAACACGTCGGGAGGCAGAGTTAGAAAGGGGAGGTGACAGCCGCTGAAGAGCCCTGACTCCCGGGGTAACCTGGGCCACGCCTCTGGAAGGCAGCCTCACCCTCAGGACTGTGGCTTACCAGAGGCGCCTGCGGCCCGGCCAGTGGGTTTTTTAGAAAGATCTTTGGTGGAGGTGGCACAAACATTCATGATATAGAATTTATCATTTGAACCATTTGATAGAATGTGATTCAGTAAGTGCTTTTACACTCTTGTGAAAACATTATGGCCATCAAGTTCCTGACTGCTCGTGGTCACTCCAGAAATGACCCACCCGTTGCCCTTCTTGCCCCCAACCTCTGGCAGCCGCCAGTCAGTTGCTGGCCTTTCAGGTCACACCCCAGACACTTGCTAGGAGTGGACTCGTCCAAGACTTGGTCTCTGCCACTAGCTTCGAGCTTAGCACAGTGTGTGGAGGCTGGTCTATGAGGAAGCAGGACGGGTGCTGCCCTTGGTGGCCCAGTCTTGTTCTCTCGGGCATGGGGCACCCCTGATCTGTCGGTCCTCAGCGGGGAGCCTGCCGTGTCTGCACGCTGGCTGCGGTGAGCAGTGCTACCGTGAGCGTGCACAGGTGGCTGTTTGCACACTGCTCAGGCTCTGGGTGTCCATGGACAGCAGTGTCGGGGTCACCCGGTGCTCAGAAATCTGGTGGCGGGTGGATCATCATAACCTCATCCACCATTGAACAGATGGGAAGCCAAGAGCCAGAGAGGCCATTCCCTGGGCCCACAGAGAAGGCAGGGCCGAGAGCAGCGTCTGGCTGCAGTGCGGTCTTACCCAGGCCTGACCCCAGACGCAGACCACGGGTTTTGCCCAGCACAGGCCCTTGGGAACCAGGCGGCCCCCTACAGAGACAACGACGGCCTTTGGTCTCTGTCTAATTAAAATTTCTCAAATTAGAAAAATACCACGTCAGAGACGTTCACTCTGGGGAAGGGTCACACATGATTGATTTGCAAACAGTGACTTAAATTAATGGCCAAAGCCATGATGAAGAGCCAGGCTGATTGGACGCAGCCGCAGCATTTACATGTTCTCAGATCCTTACTGAGAGGCTGGAGTGAGGAGGGCGGGAGCAGGCGCCCCGAGCGGCGGCCAGGGAGCGCCCTTCCGTCCCGCGCTTTCCCTTTCCTCCTTGGTCAGAAACACTGGGCTTATGTAATGACCACTAAACAATGCTGGCAAGTTTCAGAAAACCGCAGCCCCCAGCCGCCCGCCCAGGCGTCCCTGAACCCGCACTGTGTGCTGCCCGCTGCCGAGGGCACGTCTGGCCGCCCTCAGGAGTCCTGCGTTCTGCGGGCCGTGCTGCCCGACCCGGGCGCTGGCTCTGCTCTCAGAGCAGAGCTGGTTCCGTTTCCTCCACAAGCCTCAGCAATGGCTGGGCACAACCTTCTAGAAGCCACCTCAGATCCAGGAGGCTTTTAAAGTGACCTCTGACCTCTTGTGGGCCTGGGTGGACACTGAGCCTGAGTAGGGCCCAGTCAGGGGCTCACACTCAGACACTGAGCCACCAGAGGCGACTGTGCCCAGCTGCTCCAGGGCAGCTCACGGGGGCCCTCCTCTTCCTCCACCATCAGGAGGGGGTCTGCAGCTCCCGTGAGCAGCCCGGGCCACTCGGCACCCTCCTCCGGGATGCCCTCCCTGCCCACCCGGCTCCAGGGTCTCTGCCTTCTCTGGCACCTGAGGCCCTACCATCCAGGCAAGGTCCTCAGAGGCAGCACGGCGGTGGTCTCTGGGATGCCCTGTCACAGGCAGCATTAATGTCTGGGAGCAGATGGGAGACGGACGTGGCAGGGCCCTGCTGACCCACCGTGCCTGGCCTCTGCCCTGGCCTCTGCCCTGGCCTCTGCCTGCATAGCACTGCAGCGGCATGGAGGTGGCCCTGTTGGAGTTTTACAAAGCCTTGTTTTTCTGGGAAGGCTTGTTCTGATAAATTCTTCTCTTCTAGGTCTCTGAGGAGCTCAGAGGGCAGAGAGGACGGGATTCTGCAGCCAGCAACAGAGGGGCCCCCAGCCCCACACAAGCCTGCACTCTGCTGGCTTCTTAGAAAGAGGCCCAAATCCCCCCCATGCCCCAGATTCTTGTGAAATTCTTCCTAGATCACTTTTCCTGTTCGTGGCCCAATATTCTCTTTTGCTTTGCCGTTCCCGAAAAAGCTCTGCTCTTCATGAAGAGCAGGCCAGCGTGTCCGGGGTTGCTGGGACTCCCGAGGACACGAAACCATCCAACCCCGGAACAGCACAAAGTTTCCACTTTGAAAAGCAACTAAACACGTGAGGAAGGCTCTGGAACATGGGGAGGAGCAGAGGAACCGTGCCCGCTCATCTTCCGCTCGTCGCCCGACCACAGCACCATCTCTGCTGTCAGGAGACGGTCAGACCAGAGTCCGAGGACCTGCACTGCTGGACGCCCGGCCACAACTCGCCCCACATCGCGGCCTGCTCACGGCTCCCGGTGGACACACAGAGAGGACACGCGGCAACCCCAGCCCCACCCGAGAGCACCAGGGACTCCAGCCCTGGGCAGCTCTGGCAGGTCACCCAAGCTGCAGATTCGGCATAGTCTAAGCCAGTCATTTCACAAAGGACAAATCTACACACGGGGCACGTCAGGCTTCTCGGGACACAGAGGTTGGTTCACTGTATTTTTGCTCTAGGATAAATGACAAATTTCCTAGAAAACAGTGGTGAAGACATCTAAGGAGAGCAGTGGCTGGGGACACAGGTGGGGGCATGGGGTGCACCCCTCTGTGCCTCAGAGAGCTGGCAGAGCACTGAGGACCTTGGGAGGTGTCTGTCCCACATGTGAGTGCTGCTCTGGGGACCTGACCCTGCGCTTTTGGGGTGGAAACCCCACGTGGTCCTCTGAGATTAATGTTCGAACAGATGCTGTCTCTGAGAAGCAGCAGCAAACCCATGAGACAGACTGGGCTGGGCTGGGGACGGAGGGACAGCACAGCTGAAGAAGACAGTCACCAGCCCTGGAACAACGCAGAGGATCTCACCCCGGAGACAGGACACTGGAGGCCAGGCCCACACTGAGGGTCTGGGCCAGCAAGGAACCAGTGCACGCGCAGCCTGCGATTCACCAGGACTTGACTTCAGGAGGTTCCTCTGCTGGGCACAGAGCCACGCGGATGCCCAACCTGAGACAGAGACAGCAGCCTTACCCCCTCTCATCCCAGCCACCCAGGCATCTCCCAAAGAAACGAGGATGACCTTACTGTTTACTTACTAAGACAAAATGAAATTTAAAATTCACGTGCCTAGGGCTGGGATGTGGCTCAAGAGGTAGCGCGCTTGCCTACACGAGGTTCGATCCTCAGCACCACATACAGATAAAGACGTTGTGTCCGCCGAAAACTAAAAATAAATATTAAATTAAAAAAAAATTCACGTGCGCTTACCGGAAGGGACTCAGAAGCGTGATTTTGCCACCTGCAGTAGCTGGCCTGGCTCACGCCCCGCCTTGGAGTCAGGGAGTAAATGACAGGGGCAGGCTCTTCCACCCCCAGGTCAGAGAGTCAAAGATGAAACGCCTTGGGCTTCTGACCCCTCTGCATACCCCTCAAACCAGATCAGCTGGACAGGAACTAAGGGAAAATTTGTTGCTAGATCTGAGATAGCAAGGAATGCTGCCTGCCCAACGTGTCCGCTACAGCATGTTAAATCAGAGTGAGACACAAAGAAACCCCCTGCACTCAGCAGAGCCGGGGCCTGGAAACCCTCGGGGAGGTGCCTTCCAGGGAGTCTGCTTGTTTTACGAGCCACCCTGCAAGGAGCCCACATGTCCCAGGGAGGTGACGGAAGGCGACAGAGAACAGCATAACGCCGGGCACTCTGGGCACCGCCCTCTCCACTGCAGGCAGCACCAGGACCCTGGGCCCTGCCCTCTCCCTGCCCTTTCTGCCCTCTCACAGCAAAAGGCGAAACCCTGCCTGTTCCCCTCTCTGAGCCACCCTGCTGGGTGCTGCAGGAAGGCGCAGGCTGCGACCACACACCAACTTCAGCCCTGGGCTGGGGCGGGTCTTAACACCTGGTCACAGTCAAAGGGTTAATAAAAACCGGGGGTCTGTCCAAATCCTCCTGTCGGTGACACCCCAGCCCTACACATCCACAAACACAAACTTGCTGTCCAATTAAACTTCGATAAACAGGAATCTAATGCAGGCGATGCAACCAACTGGACCATTTCTCCCCCAAAGACAGACCCTGGCAGCCACGCTGAAGGCCAGCTGTGGGCAGACAGACAGAAGCCCTTCTCACAACAGAGACTCAGTGACTCTGGTAGCTGGAAGCCCGGGCTCAGCCCTGCCCGGAGCTTAAGTAACAGATGCGAAGACGCTGCACCAAAGGAGGAGTCTCTCCACTTTTAAAGCCAGTGCTCTTGGGGTGTGGGAAGGAGGCCACAGCTCCACAGGAGCACCTGGCTATCCAGAGGGAGGGTCCCTAAGCAGCAGCCGCAGCCCGTCCCACTGGTAATCACAGGATCCTCACCTACTCCAAACAGCGGAGCGCCGCTGAAGTGACACAGAGGGCCTAAGCATGTCAGCACGGCTTGGGCTCACACGACTCTTCAGCTAACCACTAAAGAGCTCCCTCCTGTTGGAATACAGTTACGTGCTGGCTTTTCCAGTTTCAGATCCAAGTCTCCCTTTGATGTGACAACCGTCAGTAATCGCTGAAGAAAAGAGATCCATTGTGCCTCAGTTTACATCAGCATGAAACTCACATTGTCACCGTCACTGTTCCCGTTCCAAAGCAAACGTTCCATTAAGACACATTCAAAGGCTCACTACTGGACAGAGAGGCAGAATACGTTCCTGGGACTGAGGTCGGGGCCTGTCTCTTTCTCCCTGCCACGCACCCTGCTCTCTCCCTCTCACCTTGTGCGACTTCAATCTCTACGCTACTTGGAGAATTATTTTTACACACCATTTGCTTTAGAATTTTGTGTGCACCTGACAAAAGTGAACACAGGTTTAATACCCTAAAATAAAATGTATATCAGTTCCAGGTGAGTATTTCCCCACTGTGTTTGCGGAATATTTTCTCTATTGGAATAGGAACAAACGTATGCCTGTTGGAATCGGTGCCTCTTCTTCCATGTTTCTGGGATGCCACTCCTTGTTTAAGAATGTAAGAAATCACTTCTAATTGATTATTTATTGAAAATACATCAAGAGTTCCCACATTTTGAAGAGATGTACAGTTATATATGCAAATGCTATCAGGGAAAAAAAAGCATGAAATTTTGCTTAAAGTAGATTTTTAGTTAATTACTCTTATAAAAAGCACAGTAACAGTTCTTTGTGAAATTTGCTCATTTAAATACAGTTTTAACATTTTATGGAATATTTTTTCTAAAAATGTTAATTTTGAGATAGTTGTGGATTCTCATGAGGCTACTGATAAATTAATGCAGACACCCCTTCCCTCTTCACGTGTTCACAACGTCTTGCCACACTAGGGCACAAGGTCCCACCCACTGACACACTCCTCTGAACTTGCTCAGGCGCCACAGTCCCGCGGGTGCACGTGCGTGTGCAAGCGTGCTTAGTTCTGTGCGTTCTCAGCACACGTGCAGACTCAGGTGACCACGTGGAACATCTTTCCCAGCAGTTTCTGATTTTAGTGTTTCGTCTTGGCTTTACTTTTAAAAACACCCATGTGTGTGTCTCTCAGATCCTGTTTCTTCTTTATCGCTCTCTCCACTTCTTGGCTACAGTGACTTATCCATCTCTTCTTTGAATTTTATGGCCTCTTTTGTGAACTCTTTGCTAGCAGAGAGCTTTGCTTTTGCTTTGCTTTTTGCAGCACATTTATCCTTTCCCAGGAAAGACACAAACATAAACAGACATTCCAGCCTCCATGCCCAGGGTTCTTAAAGACACCAGTGAGAATAGATTGATATAAATACTCAGCTCAAAAACTGTCATAAAAGCTCAGCCTTTAAAATTGGCTTATTAAAATATTTGTTTTTTTTTAAAGCCCTGATTTAAACTCAAGTTATGCGTTACAGTACTCCACACCGAAGGAGTTTACTTTATGATCTTTTTGCCAGGCAAAAGGAATCCGGCATCCATGCCGGCAACTCGGGACACAGGCGAGCAAGGCCAACAAGAACAGTTCTTTCAGGCTCATGATGTGTCAGAAAAATAGGTGTTTTCAGGAAAACCTCAATAAAGGTTTCTATTTCAAATGGCCTCAAACGGCCACCCACAGGTCCCGTCCCCACAGCTCCCACCGGCCAGAGGTCCTTGACACCAGACTGGAAAAACAGCTACTGATATTTAAGGGGCCAGGAAGCACCCAGCGGAGGCCGATCCTTCCTCCAGACCTCACTGTTGGGCATTTCACCGCAGAGCACTGCTCATGTCCCAAGCAGCTGGGCGGTGCACTCCACTTCTTCCCAGTCAAAAGCTCCACTGGGATCTGCATTTCCATTCTTCTCCACAGGGAATTAAATTTCTTTTGAGACCAGCTAGCCTCCCCAATACAGGAGTTAACAAGCATCTCCAAAAGCCAAGTTTGAGGGTCGAGGGAGGCTCTCTGTATGGGGTGGTAAGAGGATCGGGTGCCTTCTCCAAAGGAGAAGAGTCGTCAGAAAGGAAAAGCAATGAGTTCGTTGAGTGCGCCCATACTGAAAGCCTGCCAAGTCTAACTCAGCAGAAGGTAAGAGAAGATGATTTCTGTAATGAGGAAGCGGAGAACAAGTGCATTCCGCCTGGTAAGTAGTGGTGGCCTCCACGCGCCTCCAAGCCAGGCGCTCTGACCCTCTCAGAGGCTCAGGCATTTCACCAGAACGCTCAGCACTCCTCTGGGGACTTTTCAATTACCTGAGTCCAGCTGACTGGGCAACACAGCAGGAGAGAGGTGAAGGGGAGCACCTGCAGAGCCCCCCATCCTCGGCTTTTGCTGCTCCTGCTGTTGGTCACAGAGCCTTCCTGTGCGTGAAAATCTCTCACTAGACATAAAATCACCTACCAAGTATGGAAATATCCAGACATGTTTTGCTGATACATGTAATAAATGTGCTTCTTGGAAATATTACAAATAAATCACATGCCACTGAACAACATTTCCAGAAGTCAAACAAATTAGTACTGAGTACGCTGAAAGAGAAAATGAGTTAAAAAAAAAAAAAAAAAAGAGAGAGAGAGGACGAAGCTGTTACCTCGCCTGCTGGTGATAAGCAGGCAGGGTTCAGACGGTTCCTCTTGTACGCAGTATCAACTATGCAAAGAGCAGGGTTTATCTGCCTTAGCCATTACATTCAATTATATAAAAAATAAATATGCCCACACAAAGATCGGTTGCTCTCCAACTAAGTGTGTTATCTAATACATGAAGGGCTTTTTGTCCAAACAAGCTTTTAACAGTTTTCACTTATTTATCACAGGTATTGTGCTTTGTGTTTATCTAATATTTAATTGTGGTCTGTGATTGAGTCTCTTAGGTTTTACAGAGTGAGATTATTTTTAAATAAATTTTAAATGTTCCTGCAGAATTTTTCATTGGGACAGTATCTCCTGGCATTTTTTTTTCCGGTAATTTTTGGAGGGTAGTCTTAAGGATAAAGCTGTTGACATTCTCCTTAAACAAAGCTGTGTGTGTGTGTGTGTGTGTGTGTGTGTGTGTGTGTGTGTTTAAGGATGACATTCCTCATCTGTCTCTTCTTATTTCATATGTGGTGTAAACTGCGCCGGATGGTATAAAGGGTAAATGGAAGTCACTAATGAAAGCTCATAATTTAGGCAACAAAAACCAGAATTAATGTATTATCCTTCTGTAGCATTTAGTACTTGGCCAATCCAGACTTTCATTCCTAGAGAAATAGGCGATTGAGACAGTTTCCATCTGTTTTTGACAAAGACAGAAGATTCCCACAGTTATTCTCTGTTAAAAATTATTCTTTAAAACGATAAAACTGTCATTGTCTTAGGGGGCTATTTTGTCAAGAAAATTTTCAGTGATGCAGAAATAAAAGACAAAGAAAAAAGAAAGAAAACCGACCTGCAGTAGTTGGACCCTTTTGTTGCCACAGCAGGACCCCGCTGATATTACAAAACCACAGGAAAAAGAAATGGATACTTTGGGGAGAATGGATGACCCGCTCTAGATTTGTCTTAATTTTTCCTGGGTGAAGCAGAGACTTTTATAAAAGTATCACAAAGTCGGAAAACTGAAACACACTAGGTGAGAAGGTTTTCAACTCGTTCTCCGTCCCCACCGCGCCCCCGGGCAAGAAGAGATCCTGCTCCTCTCCACCGCCGCTGGAGGCCCGGGGAAGAGGTGCCCGCTGCCTCACAGCCTCGGCGAGAGGACGGCGCCTCCGCGGCTGGAGTCTGTCGACGGGACTGGGTAGGTGTCTGGTGAGAAGGAGCGGATGCGGGGCCCTGAGCGCTCTTCCAGAGGAAACCAGACCTGAGTCTCTGCCCCAAATCCCGGTGGTCTTCTCCCCCGCAGGGCCAGGCGCACACTGCCTCTTTTCCCCCAGACCCATCATCTCCCAGCCTGGAGCCCTAGCGCCTGCCTGCGGGTCAATACGCTGGACTCACACAGACGGATCCCTGCCCGGCTTTCCAAATTTCAAGGTCGGAACCCGAGGCTCCCAGCTCTTAGCTCCCCTCCACCTGCATCTCCGCGGCCGGGCGTGCGTTCTCAGCCGCCAGGTCTGCTCCACCCTCGGCTCTGCGCGCTAGGCCGGTCTCCTGTGCTCCAGACCAGAGCCTGTCTTCCGCCCTGCGCCCCGCTGACACCCGAGACGCAAGCGCAGGACAGCGTCATCTTGTCCACCGAGGGTAAACCCCAGTGCCTCAGGCCCGCATCTCTGAACCCACTGGACCGGCCACCCAAAGCGCAGGCCAGGACTCCCTGTAGGAGCAGCCAGCGAGTTCTGAGTGTCCGCACCAAGAGCGCACTCTGCCGCTCCATCCGACAAGGGCAGAGCAACAAGTCCGACACGACTCTCTCAGCAGCTCCCCTGGCCACCCTGGCTCCGAGGGGTGGAAAGGATCACCGTCTCCCTGCCCTGACCGGCGCTAGGAGAGTCTCCCTTACAGTCATCCACAGACATCCACACACACCACCAAGAATGGAAAATGCAAGAGTTCCTCTAGGTACTCCTGGACCTTGCTGGAAGTCACCAGTCTGTGGGTCCCCAACTGACACGCTTTGCAAAAGGCCTCCAGGGTGCCTCTGGGTCTGAGAAACTGCTGGGCTGCCCCTCATCCATCTTTAGAAGAGAAAGCGCACCCCATTCACGCTGCCGGGGCCCGCGGGGCCTCCACTAGGAGGGATGCACAGGCCCCAGACACCCTGGGGTCGGCCCGCCCGCCCCTGCAACGGAGGGCGCCCAATCGCGCACACAGCACCTACCCTGGTGCGCCGGTCCGGAGGTGGGTGGCGCGGCGCTAGTGGGAGGCGGACATGGACCACGCGCCTTCCATGCGCCACACGGAGAAGGCGTAGCTGAGGCGCTCGTGGGCCACGTAGCTGCAGCTGGTCATCTTATTGTCCATCTCGTCGCTCTGCAGGACCTGGTAGAGGAAGTCTATGTACCTGGCGGCCAGCTTGAGCGTCTGGATCTTGCTGAGCTTGTCCGAGGGCAGCGTGGGGATGATCTTGCGCAGTGCAGCGAAGGCCTCATTGAGCGACTGGGTGCGCTGGCGCTCGCGCACGTTGGCCAGGATGCGCTGGCTCTGGAGCTCCTCGAAGGACTGCGCGCTCGGGCTGCCCTTCTTGCCGCGCTTGCCCGGGGTCGGGCTGCCATCTTCGCTTGACTTCTTGCTGTAGCGCCGCTTCCGGCCGAAGCGCTTGGGCTGCCGCTCGAGCTCCTCCTCGCTGGTGCCCAAGCTGTCCACGGGGGACACGGGCGAGCTGGAGCCCTCCTCCATGACGCCCGCCCGGCGCGCGTGGGGCTGGAGGCGCCGCGCGCCGCTGGCCAAGCCCGCGGCCGCCGAGCACACGCTCTCGGGTTGCTGGAAAGGCTCTGGTTACGGGCCGGTTTGTGCAAAACCGAGGTCTCCGGGAGAGGAAGTTATTCTAACTTTTTTGGAAACTCTAGCCCGGCTGGGTTGCTAAATAGCTGTCAGGAGCAAGAGCGGAGCGCTGATTGGCCACCAGGGCCGGGGGCAGGACGAGTACTGGGGCCTTCGCCGGCCGCCCCCGCCCCCCGGCGCGGCACTTTCAGTTTTGCCGTTTTTCCTCCCTGAAAGCTGCCGGCAGCCCCTTCGACCGCCCGCGCCCCGACTCGGGGCCTGGGCCACTCACTCATCAGCCTCCCTGAGCCTTAGGCCCAGCCAGGCCTGGCTTTGTCTGCCCTTAACGTGGAGATCCGCCCTGCGGGGTCGCAGAGTTCTGTGAGAGGCTCAGGGGACAAGTCCAACCCCAGATGCGCTCCAGGGACGTGAGGACGCACCCGGAGCCCGTGGGGAGCCCAGATTCCAGTAGGTCTTAGCTGCCCCCAGGCGCGCAGCGAGTCCTCGCCGCGGTCCACACACTGGGGCCTGGATAGAGCGGAGCTCACCGGGCGGGGCGGACACTCGAGTGCCCGCAGAGAAGCCCACCCCCACGGACCGAACTTCAGGATCCCTGGAGACGCCATCCGCTAGGGCCAGTCCACGTGTTGGGGGCCGTTTCTTACCCCGATGGCTGAGGAGCCCAGTCCCCGACGTCTTCCCGAGCTTTCCCCTTAAATGTTTTAGAATTTGAGCGCCACAGCGAAGGTCTCGGGTGTGCGCGGTGCCGCCGCCGCAGCCCACCGGGTCTTGGCACGGTGCTGGGCGCTGCTTGGGGCGCGCGCCCGGCCTGCCTGACCCGCCCGGCCTCTGCTCTCTCCTTCACTTCGCCTGACGGCGAGGGGACGCTCTGGGAGCTGCTCGGGCCGCCAGGGCCCAGCGTCCCCTACGCCGGCGCCATGGGGCGGCTCTGAGTAAGAGAGCGCAGAGCTGCGGAGCCTGGGGGCTCTGCCTTGGAGGGAGACACCGTGGACCCGGCCCCGCGCCATCTGGATGCCGAGCGCCAGCGCTTTTGAAGTGGTTCGGGGTCTCTTTGTTGGCCGGCTCTGGCTCGGGGCCTGGAGGTGGTTTACAGCGTCATGCCTTTGAACCTATTCCCAGGTGACCCGGGCTCAATTAGGCCCGGGCCTAAGCGGGGCTGTCAGCGAGCCGCGAGATCCAGGCAGACCGGGCCTTTTTATTGAAGTTGAACCCGGCCGGTGAGTGCTCGGCCTAGGCCGGTCCTGGGGACAGGCAGCGGGCCGCGAGGTGGGGCCCGCGGGCCGAGACCCGCAGAAGGGAACCTGTGGAGGGCTCTGGCAGGCCTTTGCACCCCTCTGCCTGGGCCAGCGTTGGGGCCGCGGTAAGGACGTTTTCCTCCACAGTCCTCAAGGAAGGGGCGCTCTGTGGAGAGCAGGCCTTCAGACACCCCACGGAGCAGCGCTATTTGCAGATTCTGGGAGACCCAGGGCTTCACAACCCCCTGACAGTAGCCCACCCAGCCCCACCCGGCCTGATGGCACTCCTTCCTCCACTCCAGGCTCATCAGAGCAGCAAAGTAGCTTTCCTCCTCCCTTTTTTTTTTTTTACCATTTTTTTCAAATAAAAAATTGAGGAACAAAAGAGCTGCTGCCAACTCCCCGGTGTCCCATGCTGGGGACAGCCTCCCTGAGGATGGAAAGGGCCTGCTCCTTCCCCAGCGGGCCTCTCTCCCCGCTGGCTCAGAGCCCCAGGGCAGGGACTTGCTACTCCTTTACCAACCACCTGGCAGCTCAGGCTGGGGAATCCCGGGAGCACCCGGTGGCCGGGGTGAAGTGGGCTGGGTGCCCCTTCTCCTCTCCAGACTGGAGGCACCTTCAGGAAGAGCTGCGCTCCTGGTCTGTGGGCACGCCCCCGCCCCACCCCCACCCCCTGCCTCTGTGTGCTGCTCTCTGTCTCTCTTTCTCCTCCAGCTCCACCAGGCAGAGGTTAGAGGAAAGGAAAGCAGCCCAGGATCCTGAGCAGCTGAGGGGTCTCCCTGCCCGCAGGACAGAGGCCAGGGTGCCTTAGAGAGTGGAGCTCAGAACAGGTTGGGGCTCTCTTTTGCCTGGGGACATGGATGTGGAGGATTCCATCTGAGACGTCAGTGGACCCTGGCGACTTTCATAGCCAGAAGCTCAGCCTAACTCTGGGTCACCTTCAGTGTCCATCTTTTCTAGATTTAAATACTTCAGCAAATGACAACATGAGTTTGGGCTGCTGGTGAGCAGGTGGGGAAAGCCTTCCTTGGGGGATTTCAGAATGCCTTTGTCTGCTGCTGGTTAGCTCCTCGAGGTCCTTACCTGGACACCAACGACCACTTCCCTAAGTCAATGAGGCGGTGACATTCAGGAGTACCTCGGAGGCCACCAGCAGTGGGGAAGGGGAGGTGGTGCTCAGTCCTGTTCCTGGGTTGGCAGAGTTGAAATGCAAAAGAAACAGTAATAAATGTAGGAGACAATGCTCATGTTATTGATGTAGTTTGGATTTTTTCTTTTAAAAAATCAAGATGAGGCTAATAAAACTGATGTATTAATAACCTGAGCCCAAAACTGTGCTTGTACGAGAATATCTATAGTGGGACACCCAGGCTCACTCTGACCTGTGTGGATTGCCATTCAGTGAGGACTCAGGAGGAAATGTACTTCTTAGTATATTTATTCTTTATTGTGTGTGGAAAATCATGGATTCAAATAAGTACTTTATTTCATGGGACTTTCTAAAAAAAATGATCTGTTATTCTGAAAGATCCCCCTGTTGCCTGCTGTCCTTGGAGCAGCAGGGAGAGGAGCTGGCATGTTTGCATGAGAACTTGACAGCTATTCACTTGGCATTAATTTTGCTGTGCTAAAATGTGACACTGTTCAAGTTGTCACTGAGGGACAGTCTTCAATACTAGGACAGGATTACATGGCCCTTGGGTTTAATGAGGATAATAAAATATGTAGTTATCAAATCAGAAAAATAATTACCAACCTCAGGAGCTATCCATTCCAATACCACTGCTGCTACCTTTGGTCAAAACACCTGCCCAGGTGAGTGCTCCCGTGCTCTCCAGCAGACGCTGTCTGGTTTAGCTGTAGGAGGCTCTCGATGGAGCCAAGAGATGTAAGTCATGTGTTTTACAAGACTCCAGTGTGCATTCCCCAGTGGTCTGGTGGGCTGTTATCTCCTCTGGAGTTTAGAACTCTGCAATGCTCGAGCTGATGACAGAAGCCTGCACTCCTGTGACAGAATCAGTCCTCTAGATAAACGTGTCTAGAGGCTGCTGCTGATGGACCCCAAGCAGCACGTCCTCAGTGAGGCACCTTCTTCCGCTTCCCTGTTAGTCCCCCACAGACCCAGCACCCGCTGCACGTGCACAACAGGCATGGGAGCACCTTCCTCTGAAGTTGTTCTATTTAGATCCAGTGACAGTGAATGTGGCCCACTGTTTTCAGGAGCCCCAAGTTCCAGGAGTGGAGAATCTCGAGAATCGTGTGGAAGTTGTAGCATGTCTGTATTAATAGCAGGGGGCCCTGTGTTGCTTTGCTGAATGTGGGAGACACGTTTCTGCATGGACAAACAGCTCCCGCCTTATTCTCCCACCTCGATTTCTGCCATGCTCTGTGCTCCCTGGGCCATAAAGACGCCAGTGGGGGGCTGTGGCTGAAAAGGCGACCGTCTTCAATCCTAAAACTCAGGGCTGAAGAATGAAGATGCTCCTCAAGTCTGGTGCACAACTTATTCCTGGTGACAAGCCTCAGAACACTTTCTGGAAGTCAAAACCCAGAGCCAATCCCCTGCCTAAATCCCAGCAGGAGCAGCGGCAGGAGGGAGCTGCACTCACCCAGGGCGAGAACCTAGTGTCCAGGGCCCACATCACATACAGGCAAAACTCACCTGAAGTAAATCATCTTGAAATGTCCCCCAGAGTTCACTCGGGACACACGACATCATACCACTCCTGTTGCCACCCAAGTCTTTAACAGCAAACCTCGCCCCCGTGCCCAGGCCCCAGCCTCCTGTCCATCCTTCTTTCCCCCTTTCTTCCTGAATTGCAGTGGATGAAGCTCAGGATGATCTTCCTGGGCCCTGGCAGCCCTGATCTGGGAGAGGCACTTTTGGGCATGTGGAGAGGGGAGGGGAGCTGCCCTTGGCAAGCCCAGGGTGGAGCTGTTTGGTCTTCTGGGGCCGGCATCCATCACTGTGTGTCCACTGGCCAGATGGCATGGGTGCCCATTTCCTGGAGAGGGAAGCTCCCCCACCCCGAGTGGGTCCAGAATCACCATTTTCCTGATGCACAAGGCAGTATCTCCCATTCCACAGCAGGACTGAGATCAGTGTGACTCCATAGCAGGTTCCCTCCCGTCCTCCAAGTCACCTCCTGCTGAACTAGCCAGCGTGGTATTCTGTAATGGAATCTGAAGGGGACAGCCTGGTCATCAGGGCCGATACCAGGGTCCCCCACACCACATGGATTTCTTGACCTCACTGACAGCCACTTGCAATGTGGGACAAACAATAGCCTTGGGCACACACATTCACGTCTTTAATCCTATCAAAGTTGCTCTTGCAACAAACTCATTTGATTTTTAAATTTGCAATGTTTATCAGATTTCAGTTAAAATTAACAATGGAAAGATTAAAGCAGACATTAAGCAGTGGGAGAAAGAATAGGGTGTAGGGGTTTGGAACAGAAGCTGGCTCCTTTGTTTTGTGGATTTGGCTTTGGAACCATAGGAATATTTTACATAATTAGAACAAACTAGTTCAATTAAATAAAAAAGTCGAAATCAAAATCAAATGTACTTATAGGAATACTGCAAGATAGCTTTAAAGCACTGTCACTTAATCCAGACCCTCGTGGGTGCCCTCCCAAGGCAGAAGTGGCTGCAAAAGAGGCTGAAATCGTTTTAGTTGTTCTGCGACTATGTCGTAAGCTAAGTAATTTTGTTCATGTCTTTGGGAATTAAGATTTTTCGGCTCAAGGAAAATGGATACAAACATAAAATAAGTAAAAATGTAATTCTAAATGTGTTGGATCATCCATCTAGACTCAGGA